GCGGATCCTAATATGACGGTAGAGCTTTGGACATTTGAAAATATTCTTAAAATTAAATAATAAAGTTTATAATTCAATTTTATGAATAGAAATAAACATTACTCGCTTCATTTTTTTATAAAACCTATCATGAATACGTTTTTTTACATGGTGCTAAATACCCTATTCTATATTTTAATGTTACGTACTCTATATTTTAACACTATTGTCCGTATAATACTATTTTTCTGATACATATTGTCACACACAATCGCTTTTAGAGTTAACAATGGTTTATATAGGAGTGTAGGAAATCATGTATGTAACACGTTTACAAACATTCATTTTACGTGCACGTACAAGACCTAAAAGTATTATTTGTAGATCCTAAAATAACATTGTTAAATTCATGAAATGTCAAATTACTAGTTTCTAATAGTGTTATAGCGGTGCTGCTGTCGCATCATAATCGTGAACAAACCGGAGCTAAAATCACGCTATCGAAATTTTCAAATAAATATATACAACATGCTTCATTGATCGGCTCCTGGGCTGAACACTTTGCCCGGTTGGAGATCCCTTTTTCCTTCCACGCTCAAATTAGTGAAAGTTCCTTTTTAAAAGGCCGGCAATGCACTCGATATTTACCTGGTGTTGCATTTGGTGACGGGCGGCGATAGTCACGAACCGCATGCTCATTTGCCCCCTTTCTATAAATAAATAAATAGTGGCGCCGGACTTACCGGTCAAAGTGCAAAACGTCTGATTAAGCTTTGATAGTTTGCCTAACAGTTCAAACATATTTTCAAATAATTTTTGAAATCATATTTTATTAAAACCTCTTCTAAGCGTATAAAAAAGGGTTGGTTCAATTTTAAACTAAACTAATTTGTTCCGTGCCATATTCGAGATGTATAAACAATAAGAAACTTTAAATCGTTCCTATATAAGGCTACATAATAGTTTAAATTTAGGCCTAGCACCTAGCCTAGCACATTCTCTGTAAAAACGTGGTCTCTATAAGCATTCGTGCGACGGGAATGTAATGAAATGCAATAGAATTATTATGTCGGCGACGCGGACACTGGTAGAAATTCAACGACTAGAGTCACTCACTCTTTCTTATGTCCAATTCCCATATTCAAGAAATGTTTCGTTCTCCGTAACGTAGCGTACGAGTTACAATGCTATAAACATTACTAATATTCCCATTAACCACTCGTGGTAAGCTTAGATTGCTTGTGTTACGAGTGGTTCAGGCCAGTAGTCGAATGGCGGATTCGAACCCACGACCTTTTTGAGTTCGCGGTCCGCGCCCTGCCATTAGGCTACTGTCGCTTCTACAATTACAAACCATTCAGCAACAAGTCTAAATACTAAACAAACATATTACGTGCAGTTCACACCTTCAGAAAACTAAACTACGAGAGAATGAGACGAATGCAGAGTATCAAGAGTAGGATAATTGTATTATGTATGTAATTAATTAAAACATAAATAAATTTAAAATAAACACTATGTACTGTAATCTACCTCATTCTCTCGCAGGCTAAATTCTACAGATGTATATGTTTCTTTCTTTTTAGTATCGCTTTTTCGTTTCGTCGAGTTTCAAATTACAACGATTCTAAAGAAATATTCACTTCAAAAAAAATTAGTACGGTTCTTATTTAAGAAACGAATTATTTAAAAAAAAAGAAAATAATTATTTAATTAAACTGTTGTATTATTTAAAAAGGGTTTTCATGCACTTTATTTACCGCAAAACAACTTGTAAAAGAAGACGAACCGAACCGAAATAGAACCCGGCATTAGTCAATGTTCATTCAATCCATTGGATTACCATGCAGTTTACAAGCGCGCTAAGGCCAAAGAAGCTTATATTATAAAGCGTTTACATTCATTCATTTATTCATTACAGACTGTCAAAGTGTTCTGCTGAACTTAGGCCCTCCATATATAGCCATATCGTTTGCAATTATTGCCACGTGGGGCAGGTGGGTTAGACAACCGCAGTTTTTTATTTTTTTCGTAATCATGAGGAAGATACTGATGCTCATTTTATGATTCATAAAGCGTTTATATTACAAAATTTAGTAAAAAAATAGAATAACAGTGATAAACGAGCACCCTGTTCACCTACTGGTAAGCGGATGCTGTCACCCATAGACATCTATATTTATCTTCAATTAAGAATCAAATGCAGATTTTTGTCACCCCTGAGGATAACGATTGCCTCTTTAAGGTTATACCAATATCTGTCAGTTTAACGTCCTTAGGATCAAATAATGAACATCAATCCCCCTTTAACTTTGTCGTTGACAATGTCAATTATCGATGTATGTAGGTGTAAATGGGTTTATTGCACCAACTTACCGTCTGGTAACTGTGTGCTCGTTCGTCAACCTTCATCTCTGAAAAAAATCTTCACTGGCACCATTTAAATTGTCAAAATTTTTTGTGTAATTTACTATTTGGGACTTCGGTGGGAAAGATAACATAGTGAGAAAATAAATATAGAAATATTTTCAGGGTATATAGAGTCGGCCGTTGAGCCTTAGAGCAATGCGGAGGAATCCTTTCCATTACTTAACTCTCTCAGAAATGAGGATGTTAATGATAGTTCATGGGTTGGCAAAGAACTCTGTAGTTCCACAGCTTCCTCTGCGGATAGCTGATCGATGGCTCACAAGTTATTAGCTTTGGCATCTTCTAGATGTTTATTTCGACTGAACTTCGAGTCTTTTTATTTATTTTACCATAATTTTTACCTTACTATATTGTTACTATCATTGAAAATTTCTTGCCGAATTTAAATTTAAGTATATAACATTGCTGTTATCATTATGGATGATGTGCTAAATTAAGAGTACTGACGAACATGTATGATTAGGTATATGTAAAGAAGCGAGGGAGGTGTATCAGGTTCGTACCAAATGGAAGTTCGTAGTCTCAGCCTTCCCCAGTGGGTAACAGGCCTGAGAGTTTACATCATGCTTACATTATGTATTATCAATCAATCAAATTGAACAAAAAATAAAAGCTAAAATTTAAATTATGTACCTACATCTTATTGAAATAGTGCCTTTTCAATAAATAGTACCATTTTAATTAGTATAATATTATTTTTATACAAAGTGTATTTTGTTACTTCCTGTTAAAAAAAATCTTTGTTTATAATTCGTAGGTATAATATGATTCGATTTAAAAATTTAATAAAAAGGCATTTAAACGTATTCTAAAAATAAACTTATTTACAGATTTTGTGTATATTGATTAATTTAAATCAGCTTTAGTTATTTTTATTTGATCGGTATGTATATCGTTTTTATATTATTATACTTTTTTGGAAATTTAATTTGGATGTTACCTAAATAATGGTAAAATATTTGTAATATTATGTAATTATATATTGTTTATAATTGTCTTTTATTTTATTTCTTATGCCACAAGAGACTGCATGTAACTTCGATCAACAATACTAACTAGATAACGGGTCACGTACAAAATCATAGCTAAATAGTGTCCGTATGAATATAAACTATGAAAAGACATAAATTAAATAACATTTAGTGTGAAATCAGCTTTAAATTATAATAAATAAAGTTCTTTTTCCCGTTATTGCCTTGCGAGCTACACTCTCATGTGCAAGAGCTCACGTCTCACTTGTGCTCTTATTTACTGAGATGGATTTCTTGCGCCGACCCGACATCTAGTTGATATTGTTGATCGAAGACTTGTAACTTTCCTAAACATATCCTAGCTTCACTAAGCCTGCCTACAAATACATCTGTACTGGAAATCCAATCTAAATGTTTCCTACTTAATTATTGAATATATACTGTTTATTCTGCAAACTATATATGTTAGATACAATGATGTTACCTACTTTAAAATAGTCTACAGATACGAAAGACTTCTATGTACGAGTACACGTTGACATAGTGTGCACATAATTAATGACACCGTTTTCTTAGTAACACTATACAAAATTAGTGTGAGATTGTTGAAAACAATGTCGTCTTCTCGCCCGTTCGCAGAATTATGAAGAATTGATCGTAACTGAGTGCGCAATTTATCGAGGATATTCTTATAGTAGAATACATAGAAGTCTTTGATGGATACTATGTACTTTTGTGTACTTTTTTAAATCCTAGTAAGATTTACATTTTGTTGTACTCGTAATTTCTAGTGTGTGTTTTAATGTTTAAAATAATATTTCTAATAAGTATTCTATCATAAATATTGATATTGGTATGTCTTTTTAACTAGATTATTTAGAAAATCGTCATTTTTTGCAATGGCATATAAATAAACGAGCTTTTTAGGTGCTTTTTGATCTCCTATACTTTATAGGGACGCTGTTAAACAATTGACGTAGGTATACTTAGAAACAGTATTAAATTGTATGTTATGCATATTATGTAAACGATATGAAAAGAGCTTAGAACCTTAGAAAGTAGGTATTGACGTAGCGTATATGGAATCTATACCTTTACACAACGCTCAATAGTGTTGAGTTCGGATATACAATAAAAATATATTCAGCCGTATTAAGGAGTTCAAAGTATACCTGTCCGCAACAATTTTCTGGGGTATACTTTCATGTAGGACACTACATTTTGCTATACTATAATTTATACCCGTTTCAGTGTCTCAACGAATAGAGAGACAGACAAAGGGATGGTTATTTTTATGTTGGGATTGAAATAAATTATACAAGAACAAAAGTGGATAAAAACGTTTATTACAAAAGGAAATGAACTTAGTACAGAAATACAATTGGCATGAACTAAAAAAGGAAAAATAAGAATTTAACGCGCTTTATGAACATTCATTTTAATATTCTGTCCTAAGTCATGCTTTCGTTTAGTTGTGCGTTCTGTGTTAGACGGCCGCCCAGCTTGAATCCTAGACTTCATCTTTTCTATTCCCCTGTCTTTACGTCTACTTATGGCTGTGTTTTGAACATAACAATTCTTGCTCTAATCAGTGAATTTATGGAATCTTATAAATAGGTTTTACTTCAACTTAAATTCAGCAAGTGCATTATTATACTGGTGCGGAAATTCTACTGCAACCTGTTGTGAGTATGACGAAGAATTGTCCGCATCCTGTGTCAGCTCTTGTGTGTTGGAGGACGAGCACTGTGGTACTATCGAGTCCAAATCATTGTTTGATGTTTGATCCAATCTCAGCTCCATATTCATATAAAAATTTTCATTTATCTCATCCCCCATCGCAATTCTTGCTAGTGATATTCTATCATGAATAGACAGCCGAGGAGAATTCGGAAATATAACACCAAATTTTTGCTCAATGCTACATAGGTGCTTGCAAAATCTTCCACATTTTCCAGCATCACAGTCGCAAACAGCTAAATCGGCTCTGACAGTGTAAAAAGTATTTGAATTTGTCTCTGATTCTACACTGTACTCATTATCGTTGACTTTAGAAATATTTTTAATATTTCGAGCAGTTTTCATGAACATTGCATATATGGAATCCTTGGTTTTTCGCGTGTTAGCGTAAGAATGGATGCGGCGCTGAAAATAGTTCTCAAAAATGGAGGTGATGAAATTTACCAATACGCAAGACGTGATACTCCAGCACTGTAAAGCATTTAATTGCTTTACAGTGCTGGAGCATCACGTCTTTAAGAATGCGTATACATGCTTCTGTTATGTTGTTAGTATTGTTTCCTCGCGTAAGTAAATCCACCCTACCAGAGATACACCATTCTAGTGTCGCCGTTCCCATAAGTTACTGAGATGATTTAACAGAGCTGGCATCGTCTTAATATACTCGTCCATTGTCAATCCCTCATACAATTTTACTGCTTCTTCTGGATCAGTTACAAAAAGAATATTTCTAAATCTCATCATGATTGACTGTGTTTTCGTTATGTCAACCTTGTGATCTGTAACGCAAAGCCAACGCCAAAAGGCTTGACATACATGAAATGCGCACAATATTAATCGAGCATTTGGAAAAATGGTTCTCAAAGCATTTCCTTCTGCAGTAGAATCATCTGTCATAACAATATCAGGCTCAAATTTTTACTCGTCTCGTTCTTTTCTATAGCTTCTTTAATGGTGCCAAAAACCAGTGTGTAATTGGGTTCATTTTGCTCGGTATGTATAGCACAAACCAATGGAAGACCGCCAATTTTGTGAGATGTAAAAACTAGAGTAATTGCAGAACTGGTCTGGTCACACGATGATGTTGTGTCTACAAATATCATATTCTCATATGCAGTCGATAGAAAGACCCGTTTCTTTATAGGCGTAATTATGACAATAATCCTGGGATATGGTTTCGACAGTATCGTGTAGCCTTTCTCAATTAAACTCTCAATTTTCCCTCGCATGATTTCGGGGAGATTGCATTCATTACGGTCACCATACTTTTCAGCACGCCATTTATTATACATGTAGTACACATGATTTTCAGAAGGATTTATTTGAGAATTCGACAGCATCTCTATTCCATTTACAGCAGTATATTGAAACGAGTCCAGTATGTTCAATTTATTGTAATTTATTGCTGCACAAGGCGTCATCCCACTGTTGAAATATTTTTTAAATCTTTCTTCGGTTTCTTGGTTGCATTTTAGTAAATTCAAAGCTTCGGCAACATAAACGCGTATAAGGTCACTACACATTATATACTTGCAACAATAGTTTATCGTTTCGAATAGTGTCCTTGTTGCCTTTTTTGATAACAAAGTCTATTTTAGCCTTACAGTTTTGTCCACTAGACGACTTATCAGATTTTTATTGAACGATGAATGTTGACATGTATAAGTTTTTCGAAACAAGAAGCGAAGAATATGACTTTCGAACTATCCAGTTCGTTTTCGTATAATTAGGAAAAATTTAACAAACTCGTCGATAAACTTAGCATATCGTTCTTGCTCTTCATTTTGATCAGCTTTCAGTCTAAATTGCACGAAGTACTTTTCACACGATTCAAAATCTAATTTCTCAATAAGTCCACAATGTTCAGTTATAAAGCCCTCTAAACCGGCTTTATCTATCATTTTACACACTTTTTACACTAAGAGAATCACAAACTATATAGTTATCACTCGATAATATACTTCACATTATGCTATGCACTATATTTCCTATTTTTTAAATTAAAAACACTGGAAATCACAGAGTTTAACAGTACTAACTCGCACGTGGTAAAAAATGATGCCACAATTGCGTCAGCCAGCGGGCGAAAAGGAAAGAACGATTGAAATAGTAACGTGATAAAAGAGTATCCAGCGATTGCTTTGTTGCGGTCAGGTATGTTTTAAAATAACTGCGCGGGCGTGACCTAAGCCTACCCTGTATACCCGATTTCAACACGCACCAGTGACGTCACAAATGTTAGGTAATGGTACGCTCTAATGAAAAGATTTCCGCTTTCTGGATTTAAAAATATAAATTGGCGTTTTGTACGGGAGGGATATAAAGTAATTTTTTATTTGTAAAATATATTTAATTAATCCAAGTATGCACCGTTGTTATCTATGCACTTTTGCCATCTCATAGGACATAGGTAGTTCATTGATCCCTTTACTATACCCCTTTAAACCATGGGGCGAAAATCAATAAACTCTTTGAAGGCGGTTTGGACTGCCGCATCAGAGTTGAATTTTTTTCCTTGTAAGAAGTTGTCGAAATTCCGAAAATAATGGTAATCTGTTGGAGCAAGGTCCGGGGAGTAGGGTGGATGTCGAAGATATTCCAATTGTAGCTCATCTAACTTAGTGGTTGTTTGTTGTGCAGTGTGTGGTCTTGCGTTGTCGTGAAGCAGCAGTGGCCTAGAGCGATTGACCAATCTCGGTTGTTTAGCAGCTCAGCTTCTTGTTCCTTCATGGTTTGCAGTTGCTCACAGTAGATATCTGCCGTAATCGTTTGACCAGATTTTAGAAAGCTGTAGTGAACGACACCGGCGTTAGTCCAACAAACACTCACAAGTAACTTTTTCTGAGTCAATTTTCGTTTAGGGCAGGATTTGGCTGGGTCTTCAGGGTTCAGCCATTGCGACGAGCGCTTCCGATTATCGCGCAGTATCCAATTTTTATCACAGGTAATGATTCGATTTAAAATCCCTTTATTTTTGTGTCGATTGAGCAAAGTAACACGGCAGTCGACGCGTGTTTACAAGTTCGATTCACTCAATTCATGAGGTATACCCATCGTTCAATTTTTTTGACTTTCCCGATTTGCTTCAAGTGGATAATTACTGTTTTATCACTTACCCCGAAGCCTGCAGCTATCTCTGAAGTGCTTTGTGATGGATCCGCTTCCACAATAGTCTTTAGTTCTTCATTTTCCACTTTAATCTCTGGCCGTCCACGGGGTTGGTTCTGAAGGTCGAAATTTCCAGAACGAAAACGTTGAAACCTAAAACGTACTGTGTTTTCTTTTGCGACACCAGCGCCGTACACATCATTAATCCTTGGAGCTGTTTCTGCAGCACTGGTGCCACGGTAGAACTCGTTCTCGTAAATATACCGAAATTTCATGTTTTCTATTGTGCGGTATTAAGCATTGAGGAAAAAACAAATGAATGACTGTTTTCAAAACTCAAATGTACCAGCTAAATGAATTTATAAATTTGAATTTGGAATTCTTACCCAAAGAGGAGGTATTTCAGATCAAAGTGGTCAGTACGACAAAACGCTAATTTCATATGTAAGGACCCTGTTATTGCTTAAATAAAGTTTTGGTTAGTATTAGCTACTCAAGATTATTAGTTTTCGTCTCACTCTAAAAGGCCTTCTACACGGTCGGGATTTTATAGAAGAGGGGGCAAACGAGCATGCGGCTCACCTGATGTTAAGTGACTACCGCCGCCCATGATCAACCGCAACACCAGGGGAATTGCAGGTGCGTTGCCGGCCCTTTAGAAAGGTGTAAGCTCTTTTCTTGAAGGTCCCCAGGTCGTATCGGTCCGGAAAAATCGCTGGTGGTAAACTATTCCACAGATAGGTTGTACGCGGAAGAAAACTCCTCTTGAAACGTACAGTGGTGGACCGCCAAGCATCCAGTTGGTGTGGATGGTATCGGGACGTTTGCCGCGTAGTGCGTTCACGAAATTTGGCAGCTGGGATTAATCCGAAAAATTCCTCAGAGCACTCACCATGGTATATGCGAAAGAAAATGCAAAGAGATGTAACATCTCTTCGCAGTGCCAGTGAATCGAGCCGATCGGAAAGCACACGGTCGTCGACGATTCGAGCCGCTCTGCGCTGGATGCGGTCAAGTGGAAGGAGCTGGTACTGGGGAGCCCCAGCCCAGAGATGGGAACAGTACTCCATGTGCGGCCGAACCTGCGCCTCGTAAAGTTGCAGGCGGTGTGCCGGCATGAAATACTGTCCCGCTCTGCTGAGCACGCCAAGCTTTTTAGAGGCCAATTTGGCCTTCTCTTCCAAGTGACCACGAAACTGCACGTCACTCGATATGTCGACGCCGAGGATTCCGATACTGGCTGAGGCAACAAGGGAAATGCCTTGAAACTGAGGAGATACGACAAAGGGGTTCTTTTTAGCGGTTAACGCGCAAACTTGTGTCTTCTGGGGGTTAAACTGGACTAGATTTAGTTACCCCCAATCCGAGACTCTGTTCAGCAAAGACTGGACTTCAGACACAAGTTTGTCCCGGCACTCGGAGACGTTTTCCCGAGAAATATTGGCTCGGCCGGTGTAAAGAGCATCACCAGTGCTGTCATCTGCATAGCAATGAATGTTACGGGTTTGCAATATATCATTGATATGCAGAAGAAACAGCGTTGGCGATAGCACGCAGCCTTGTTGAACACCAGCGTTAATAGGCTTGCAATCGGAGCTTGCACCGTCTACAACGACCTTAATGCCCCGATCTGCAAGAAAGCTGGTGATCCAATCGCACAATTTCTCGGGAAGCCCATAGGAAGGGAGCTTCGAAAGAAGCGCTTTGTGCCAAACCTGATCGAAGGCCTTTGCAATGTCCAAACTAACGGCCAATGCCTCCCCCCTTGGACTCTACTGCCTCCGCCCATCTGTGAGTTAGGTAGACCAGAAGATCACCAGCTGATCGACCACGGCGAAAACCGTATTGGCGGTCACTAATCAGCTGGTGATCCTCAAGGTACCTCATGAGCTGGCAGTTTACAATGGACTCCATTGTTTTGTAGAACAAGGAGGTGATGGCGATAGGCCGCTAGTTGGACGGGTCTGAGCGGTCGCCTTTTTTAGGGATCGGGTGGACGAAAGCCGTCTTCCATGATTTTGGGACTACGCCTAGGGAGTAGGAGTACCGGAAAAGACGCGTTAAAACCGATGCCAACTCTGGTGCACACGTCCTCAGCACAATTGGGGGGAATTCCGTCAGGCCCACTCGACTTGTGGATGTCCAGGGAGAGGAGTGCTTTGCGAACCGAGCGCTGTGTGAACTGCACTTCCGGCATGGAGCACTCACACCGCGGGATGGTCGGCGGCGTACTCCCCCCGTCATCGAGGGTCGAGTTGGACCCAAAGAAAGAGCCTAGAAGATCGGCTTTCTCCTTTGCGGTATGGGCCAGTGAGTCGTCCTCCCTGTGCAGAGATGGAAGAGATGGCTGACAGAAATTCCCCTGGACAGCCTTGGCGAGAGACCAGAATGCACGGGTTCCAGAATGAAGGCGAACTAGTTTCTCGCCAATTCTGCCTATGTGCTCTGACTTTGCCTTGGCAATGACTCTTTTGAAGGACCTAGAGGCGGAATTATACTTCTTTTTTAGAGCGCTGGTGTTTACATCCCGGGACGCTGATGCATCAGCCCAGGCTTGGTAGCACTCCTGCTTATAGCATGATGCTATTTTACAGGAGCGACCAAACCATGGCTGAGATTTGCCTCCAATGGGCACCACAGAGGAAGGAATAAAAAGTTCCATACCCTTAAGCAGCACATCAGCGACAGAATCCGCAACAACGTTGGGATCGTGCGGCGAGAAGCAAACCCGCCCCCAAGGGCATAATGCAAAGAAAGACCGCATCCCATCCCAATCGGCTGACCTATAGTGCCAAACACGGCGGCAGCCTGCAGAATGCAACTACGATTTCAGCGTGAGTGGAACCACACTCCGAACAAGACAATGGTCCGAGGAGCCTAAAGGGGCGTCGACGGAAATCTGATATCCGTCCTGGTGAGAGGTCAGCAGAAGGTCCAACAGGGAAGGTGCATGATCCTCCACATCTGGAATCCGCGTAGGCGAAGTAACCAGTTGAGTCAGACCATATGCCAAGGCAAAATCATGAACAGATCTCCCCGCATGATCGGTTAAACGTGAACCAAGCCATTCGGCATGATCGGCGTTAAAGTCACCGAGGATCACGATCTCTGCGGAGGTGATCTGCTGTAGAAGAGTCGAGTTGATGTAAAAATGGACAGTGTAGACATCGGTTGTCTGACCAATATTTTGGTTGATGTCCGACGGCCTTGGTCGCGAGCGCATTGCTCACGA